GCATCATTAGTTGTGCTATGAGAAATGTTGGATCTTGTGTTACTGAAGCTAAATTATTCAGTTTCAACCATTTTTGAAAAAACATTCTGTGTAAGACGTGTAATTTGATGGAAATGCATTACTGAGCTGTCAGTGAGTTCATTAAGTGTAGAGAATCATAGATCACAGAGAAAAGATGCAAATCATTCTTCTTAAGCTGCAGGATGTCTGCTATTCTCGTGATGTCACTGCAATGCAAACCAAATATGACCTGTCTTTTCAATATAGTGTTGCAAATATATATTTATTTACTCCCCTTAGTTGCCACTTATTCCTAAAATAGCTTCACATGAGAACTTTCCCACAGTCGGTGTTGTTGTGTTCAATGAATCTCGTTTAAAAGGACAGCAAAAAGGGAAAAATGTAACAAGATGCAGGTTTACAATTTTATTCTCACTAAAACGCATTTGAAACCTGTCAGTCGCACAAAACACCGATGCAATAACAATATAGAAAGTGTAAAAGTCAGCTGATCACTAGCTTTAGCAATCAGCTGTCACAGAAGTGATATCATATGAAACAACCTTCATGTCCTGTATCGAGCATCAGCTTTGAGGTAGAACACACAGAATCCTTTATCATCATATTTCCTTTATCATCATATTTCCCAGCAATTATTGAAACACTTCTTCTTTCATTACAGAGAAACAACAACTCTGAACTCTTAACATTTCACCTTTATTGTACAAAACTGTGGATCAGGTTTGGTGATTCAGTCTTCCAGCTTCGCCTCCTTCACTGTTTCTACAGAGTCAGCCTCACATAAGCTCAACTACAAATACAAAAAGTTCCAATTTGAAATGTGACAATGCATTCTTTAGCTCCTTGTTTCCCTGAATCTCTACAAGAGGTGGAGACATAAAAGAGACATATAAACGATAAACGCCGGAGCGGTCCTGTGACGGGGGCTGAAAGGTTACTAAGAGCAACGCTCCACCCGTCTGACTTCAGTTAAAGGCACACGAGCTTAGTTGAGAGCATAGTTGAACTGGTTGGAGAACTTGTCGTGTTTTCTCTTGTCAGCCTTATTCATCACCTGAGCCACTCGTCTCAGGGAACTCCTGCAGGGAGGGAGAACAGAGCAGGGAGGAAATGAGAAGGATTGATGGGAAAAATCCAAAGAAACAACAACTTTAAGCCCAGGAGCTAAAACCCATTCTGCTCACTTCTAGCTCCATATTTCTACACTTAGACTGCGATACTTGCCTCTACAGTTTAAAAAAATAATGAATCATTAGTTATTTTATACTGGGACTGGGTCTAGCCTTCGACTAAGAGCACTTTGAGAATCAACTCGATGGTGCAAAAATAGAATTTCATTTCTATCACAGCGTCATCTGTGGATTTTTTTTTTTTTTTGATTTGGTGAAAGAAAAGAAAACAAATGATGTGTTTCTTGTGATATGATGCTAGTAAGTAGGGCTGCCACAAACGATTGATAGTCGACTAGTCACCGATTATTTTTGCGATTAGTCGACTAATCAGATCATCATCCATTGTTGCACCAGCAGCATCTGCTCTTATATAACTATCATTAGCTTACAGCTTTAAGTGTTTAAGGTATGTGCTAACTAAAAATAAAGACAAGATG